ATGGGAATGGAAGTGAATGAAAATTTCCTAGTAACGTTCATCCTTAATTCCTTACCTCCAGAGTATGGCACATTCCATGTGCATTACAATACTCTAAAGGATAAATGGAATGTGCATGAGTTACAAAGCATGCTCATTCAAGAGGAAGCAAGGCTTAAGAAACCAGGAAATCATTCTGCCAATCTTGTTGGTCATAAAGGAGCTGGAAAGAAACCATGGAACAAGAATGAGAAGGGCAAGGAAGGACTATCAAAGCTTAATGAGTCATCTGCCAAAATCCACAAGAAGGAACCAAGTAAGGATATATGCCGCTTCTGTAAGAAAGCCGGACATTATCAGAAAGATTGCTTGAAAAGAAAGGCATGGTTCGAAAGAAAGGGTAAGCCTAGTGCTTCAGTATGTTTCGAATCAAATTTAACTGAGGTTCCTTATAATACTTGGTGGGTTGACACTGGTTGTACCATTCATGTTTAAAAAAACAATGCAGGGATTCCTTACGACCCAAACCATAAGGCAAAATGAGAAGTTCATCTATATGGGAAACCGAGCCAAAGTTCCAGTTGAAGCTATTGGGACTTATCGTTTGGTTTTAGATACTGGTCATCATTTGGACCTTGTCAATACCCTTTATGCTCCTTCTATTTCTCGTAATTTGGTTTCGGTGTCTCAACTAGATAAGGCTGGATATTTTTGGAACATTGGAAATAGTTCTATTAGTTTGTTCAAACAGAATGTTTTATTGGGTTCTGGTACCCTTGTTGATGGTTTGTACAAACTAAAGCTTGATATCCTATTCGCTGAGACTCTCTTAACCTTGCATCATAATGTTGGTATTAAACGTGGTTTGTTTGATGAATCCTCTGCTTACTTGTGGCATAAACGTTTGGGTCACATATCCAAAGAAAGAATGGAAAGGCTAGTAAAGAATGAGATCCTTCCTCATTTGGATTTTAATGACCTTGGAATTTGTGTTGAGTGTATTAAAGGAAAACACACAAAACACACACTTAAAAAAGCAGCCACAAGAAGCTCACAGCTCCTTGAAATTATACACACTGATATTTGTGGGCCTTTTGATGTTCCATCACTTGGTGGAGAAAAGTATTTCATTACCTTTATCGATGATTTTTACATTATGGATATATCTATTTGCTGCATGAAAAATCTCAGTCGGTAGATACCCTTGAGGTGTTTATCAATGAAGTTGAGAGGCAATTAGAAAGAAAGGTGAAAATTGTCAGATCTGATAGAGGTGGAGAATATAATGGAAAATATGATGAAAGTGGACAGTGCCCTGGTCCATTTGCTAAGTTCCTAGAAAGACGTGGTATTTGTGCTCAATACACTATGCCAGGAACACCGCAACAAAATGGTGTTGCAGAAAGGCGGAATCGTACTTTAATGGATATGGTTAGGAGCATGTTAAGCAACTCATCTTTACCCAAATCATTGTGGATGCACGCTTTAAGGACCGCTGTGTATTTGTTAAACAGGGTTCCTAGTAAAGCAGTTCCTAAGACACCTTTTGAACTGTGGACGGGAAGGAAACCCAGTTTAAGGCACCTGCATGTTTGGGGTTGCCCAGCGGAAGTGAGAATATATAATCCACATGAGAAGAAACTGGACTCACGAACAATCAGTGGTTTTTTCATTGGTTATCCAGAAAAATCTAAGGGGTATCGATTTTATTGCCCTAACCATAGTACAAGAATTGTTGAAACTGGAAATGCTAGGTTCATTGAGAATGGTGAAGTTAGTGGGAGCTTAGAGCCACGCAATGTGGAAATTCAAGAAGTTAGAGTGCAAATATCCTTGCCTCTACCCTCTTCTCAAGTTGTTGCTCCTGCACATGTTGAGCATGATAACGATTTGCAGGAACAACAAATGAACAATCAAGCACCACCTAATATTGCTATTGAGAATGAACCTAACATAGATGAACCACAAGAAATCGCATTAAGAAGGTCTACAAGAAATCGAAGGCCTGCAATTTCTGATGATTATGAGGTTTATCTTCACGAGTTAGAATCTGATTTAGGACTCTATCATGATCCAGTTTCATTTTCACAAGCCATGGAAAGTGAGCATTCTGATAAATGGTTAGCTGCCGCGAAAGAAGAGATGAAATCTATGTATAAAAATGAAGTTTGGGACCTTGTTGATTTGCCTGAAGGTTGTAAAAGAGTTGGTAATAGATGGGTCTGGAAGACCAAACACGACTCTAATGGCAATATCGAAAGACACAGGGCCAGACTTGTTGCCAAAGGTTTCACTCAGAAAAGTGGTGTTGACTATAAAGAGACATTTTCACCCGTCTCTAAGAAAGACTCCTTAAGGATTGTCATGGCAATGGTAGCTCATTATAATCTAGAGCTCCATCAGATGGATGTGAAAACCGCATTTCTGAATGGGAATTTAGATGAAGCAGTCTATATGGATCAACCTGAAGGTTTTGTGGTTGAGGGAAAAGAACATATGGTGTGTAAATTAAAGAAGTCAATATACGGACTTAAACAAGCTTCCCGACAATGGTATATTAAGTTCAATGATACCATTACATCTTTTGGATTTAAGGAGAACATCGTCGATCGATGTATATATCTCAAGATTAGTGGGAGTAAGTTTATAATTTTAGTTCTGTATGTTGACGATATCTTGCTTGCTACTAATGATCTTGGTTTATTACATCAAACCAAGGAGTTTCTCTCTAAGAACTTTGAAATGAAGGATTTGGGTGAGGCATCCTATGTGATTGGAATAGAAATATTTCGTGATAGATCACAAGGACTGTTGGGATTGTCTCAGAAATCATACATTAACCGGATCCTAGAGAGATACAACATGGCTGAATGCTCTGCAAATGTCGCTCCAATTCAGAAGGGAGATAAATTTAGTCTCAAACAATGTCCAAAGAATGAATTGGAACGCAAGCAAATGGAACACATTCCTTATGAATCTATTGTTGGAAGTTTGAATTATGCACAAACTTGTACCAGACCAGACATCAGTTTTGCTGTCGGAATGCTGGGCAGGTATCAAAGTAATCCAGGAGTAGATCATTGGAAAGCTGCAAAGAAGGTACTAAGGTATCTGCAAGGAACAAAAGACCACATGCTCACCTTTAGGAGATCTGATCACCTTGAGGTGATTGGATATTCAGATTCAGATTATGCTGGATGTGTAGACACCAGGAAGTCTACTTTTGGCTATTTGTTCCTTCTAGCCGGAGGGGCAATTTCATGGAAGAGTGCGAAGCAGTCTGTTATTGCCACATCCACTATGGAAGCTGAATTCATAGCTTGTTATGAAGCTACGAATCATGGTTTATGGCTGCGGAATTTTATTTCTGGACTTGGAATTGTCGACACTATCGCCAAGCCGCTGAAAATTTATTGTGATAATTCCGCAGCGGTATTCTTCTCTAAGAATGACAAGTATTCGAAGGGTGCTAAGCATATGGAGGTGAAATACTTTGTCGTTAAGGAAGAAGTTCAGAAACAAAGGGTGTCGATCGAGCATATTAGCACACAGCTTATGATTGCTGATCCATTAACAAAAGGATTGCCTCCTAAGACATTTACTGAACATGTCGAAAGGATGGGGATTATAGGACGTCATGATTAAAGTTATTTTATGTTTCATGGATTGACACTTTGAGCTCATTTAATTTTGTTTCTGAAATAAAGTTATGAATCTTGTTTTATTTATTATGACCAGTATATATACATTATGCATTATGTGAACAAAACAAGATTTTTGTCTTTAGGAAAGACATTATTGTTGGACCATTATGAATACCTTGTTATGTGTCATATTGAGCATGAGACTGGTTTTGTGATACATGGAAGGGACTATGTCGATAAATTGATATAGAACCGCCATGATCCTAATCTAGCTTTCATACTTGATTATGACTTTATGGTGAACCAAATATTATGGATTTATCTTATGATGTGCACACTTATGTATATTATTAGATCTTGTGATATATAATGACACATGGACCAAGTGGGAGAATGTAAGCCCAATTCCCGTATCTGACTAGGGAATAATTGTGGCCCAAGTGTAATTATCACTTAATGGTTTAATATATAAGGTAAGTCATATATTGGTTAGGTTAATGAAAAAGGTAATTTCCTAATATACCCTGATGGTGGGTCTATATAAAGAAACCCTAGGATTGGTCCTCTCTCCACCCATTACGTAGAATTTCTTAGCCGTCATAGAAATCTCTAAACCTAAAACCTAAAGGGGTCAAGAGGGAGAAACTCAATTCCGGTGATTACTACTCAAGCCGCCGCCGTCGCTCTCGTCATGGATCGAGGTAGGTTTCCTTGATCTATTATTGATTCGTGAAATCATCTAATTCTAAGATCCATGCTATTATGATTTATGTTTACAGTAGCGGGATTAGTGACATCATCTTGGGGTGGATTGTGTGGGCCTCTCCCAAAATTACCCCTAACCAATTTGGGTTGTACGCTGAGAGCGGATGGTAATGGACGCCGGGTAATGGAGTTGCCATAGTGAATCCTCCATTAATAAATAGTAAAGTTTTGTGTAATTTCCTCCGGCTAAATTGCACGTTTGGTCACTCAAATTATACAAATCTTTCACATTTGCCACCCAAATTATTTTTCTTTCTTATTCGCCACTAACTTTACGAATAGTTTCACCGTTAGTCACCAACCGTTAAACTCTGTTAAATTTGTCCTACATGGCAGTCAACGGTAATGTTTGACTGTTAACTAGATGACGTGGAAATTAAAAAATAGAAAAAAATAGTTTCAATTTCCACCTCATCATTCCACTTACATTTATCATTTTAATTATTTAATAAATAAAAAACAAAAAATCGACATGTCCGCCGATCTCGATTCCCGGCCCAGCTTGCCCCAAATAGTCGGGATCAGTCTCCGGGACACTCCCTGGGCTTGCAGCGGCGGCGCCAAAGACGACCTTATAGTTATGAACGATAATTGAGATCAGAATAATCCCGTGGAGAAGGAGATTCTCAATTCCAGCGACGAGGAATACCACCAAAATTGGCGGAATTCAAGATCCCGACGATCCTAAGCTGTCAGCCGGCGCCGAGGAAATCGAAAAGCACGCCAATCTCCTGCAAGCGGAAGCTGGTGTCGGAGCTGGCCTTCATTGACATGGTCAACCGGGTGGAGGTCGAATCTTCTTCCGATACGGTTTGCTGCTGGCCAAGCGGATCAGGTGCACCGGTCTCATCCCTTGTAATTTGTTAAAAGAAAAACAGAGTATATATCGCCGGCTGAGAAGAACGGGGTCGTATTGATGGAGCTCGATCCATTCCCCGTCGGTAAATGGACAAATCACTATCGGCATTGTGTCTCGGCAGGGCAGCATGGCAAACCGGAAGTGTCCACGAGAGCAACCTCCTTGGCGGTGGCGGTGGATCCATGCTCGAAAGTTTTAATTGCAATAATAATTTCAATCTTGCGTACCACAATGAATTAGTCGATCCCTTGAATGAGAGCGTACGTAGGCCGTCCAGATGCTATCGTTGGCGAAGTTGGCCGCGGAGAGCCAGAGCGGCATGAACTCCACGCTCTTAGTCTTGTACACCTTGGCCATGACGGGGAGCGGGGCGGCGTACATAATGGTGTTGAATACCACAACGACGTTGACTATGGTGTTGTGGTAGTGTTGGCTGTGGAAGCCGACGAGGGCGACGGCGACGATGACGCGGAAGAGCACCACCTTGTCGAGGAGGCCAGGAGGAACTTCTTGCAGCTCTTGTTGTGGCGGTCGTAGAAGACGAAGATGGAGAGGTAGACGAGCTTGAGTGCCAGTCCGAAGAGTGATCCCGATTTGATTTTGGACAAGCTGGGTTGGGAATTGAGATCGGCGGACATGGCGCTTTTTTATTTATTAAATAATTAATATTATAAACTATATGGACTAAGTGGAATGATGAGTTGGAAATTTAAATTATTTTTTTTATTTTTTTAAATTTCCATGTCATTTAGTTGACGGTCAAACTTTATAGTTGACTGCCACGTAGGACAAATTTAACGGAGTGTAACGGCCGGTGACTAACGGTGAAACTATTCGCAAAGTTAGTGGCGAATAAGAAAGAAAAGTAACTCGGGTGGCAAACGTGAAATATTTGTATAATTTGAGTGACCAAACGTGTAATTTAGCCAATTTCCTCCATTTCAAATTTCTTACAACCATAATGAAAGTAGGAAGGACGTTGTTGTCTTTTCAATTAATTAATTATTAAAAATAAAAAATATCAATACCAAGTTTTGACCCCTAGTCTCTTCAAACAAAAACAACAATCATGACCAATTACACTAAATAAATTTGTTGTTTCTATTTGAATACAAAACATATACCAAGTGTAATCCTCCATTGATATATGGTAGAGTTTTGTGTAATCTTTTTCATTTCAAATTTTCTACAACGAGAGTGAAAGTAGGAAGGACGTTTTTGTCTTTACATAAATTATTTCAAATAAAAAATATCAATACCAAGATTTGAACTTTGGTCTCTTCAAACAAAGACAAAAATCATAAACAATTACACTAAAGGTGCGTTTGGATACAATGATTTGGATTTTGTATCTGTGATTTGGATTTCCAAATATCAAATAATGTGTTTGGATATTAATTACATTTGGTATTTGGATTTGTGTCAAATTCATGGGGTGATTTCCAAATACATGTCTAGTGTATTTTTTGTCAACTTCAAATACATTTCAACAACTAGTGATTTGAAATACCTCCTAACAAAAGATTGGACCTATTTGTAAAATATGAAAAGTTTAGGTACTATAGTGTGAGGCAAAACATATAAAGGTACCAAAATGTAATTTTACCATCAAAATTTCAGGACCTTTTTGTAAAACTTTAAAAGTTTTGGTACTAAATTGTAAGAAAAAATGCATTTGGGTACCAAACTGTAATTTACCAAAATTTGTAGTAAGTGACCAAAAAATTGAAAATTAAAATACAAAATAATAAAATTTAAAATACAAAAAAATTACAAATGAGTATTCAAACAACGAATTTGAATTACATGTATTTCAAATGCTAGTATTTCAAATACTAGTATTTCAAATACCTTACATTTGAAATACACTTATCCAAACACACCCTAAATAAATTTGTTGTTTCTATTTGAATACAAAACATACACTAAGTTAAACTCTGGAAAGTGAATGACTTTTACATCATGATCAACAAGCCCACTTAGTCTACCGTATGTATTTTTATGGTTCTTAATACTTCAATTTCCATAGTAGAGTTTCATGTACTTTTATCCATTTTAAAATTCATGTTCTCTCCTTAATTTTTGCTTAGATAAATTTGTAATTGGCTAACATGGAAGGAACTATTTCTTTTACTACGTGTTGTATTATTGCATTTTTCAAATTAAATTTTAATTTTGTGCTTTTTATCTTTGTTTTGATCTCTTTCTAACTTCTTCCGAAAGTCCCTCCATCATGCAATAGTTTGGCCCTTTCACTTCCCAGTACAAGGGCGCATTTGAAAATTAATCTTCTGGTTTCTCTTGGCACGACAATTTTATTCTTAGGGATTTAAACTGGGCAAGTAGAAAATTTCAAATTAGATATCAATCCATGGCGAATAGAATGGAGTTCGATCAAGTGGTTTTGGATTTGAACTTGGAGTAGAAGAGTTGGAATTGAGTTTGAGAATGGAAGTTGCGGGGGAAGAAATTGTGTTTGGATTTGGTAGCAGGTAAAGTTCCACTACAACAGGTGAAGGCGGAGAAGAGAGTACTAAGCGAATTGATGAGGGTATTGAAAGACATGGAAGCGAAACTGGAGTAGTTAAAGATAGAGAAGTGAGAGATGATCAGGATGGTAAGAAAATGGAGAGGGTATTGAAGGGCATGGAAGTGTACTGAAACAAGTGAAGGCAAACAAGGGGGAGATGAACATATTGATGGAATTAGATATGAGTGTTGGTTTTAGCGAACTTATTACAATTGCCCCTTAGGAAGATGAGTTGGCAAAACACACGAAGAAGATTGAGGAGTTGAAGAGCGAGTTGACAAGAAGCCCAACTGGAAGAGAAGTTGAGAGCCACAGAGAGAAGGTCCATCAAAGTAGCAAAAATGGAGTTGCGGAAGGAGAGTTAAAAAGTGAATGTTTGGTGAAACATATGCCTCTTGAAATTGAAGACAGAGTGGATAAAAATTTGGTCATTCAACGGTGAGTGGTGGCTATTGGCTCTTTAGGTTTATGGTTTTTGCAGCTACCACAACCTATTTCTATTTTAAAACGAGGAATCATTGATTGATTTACTGAAGTAGGTCGATTCTTTATTCAATCTATTGAAACTGATAGATAAGGAGTGTCTAATTTTGTGCTTTATGACTTTGATCAAGTCTATTAGTATATTGGAGGTAACCCTAATTTTGTCGTTTGCTCTCAAGTTTTGATGGTTCCCTCTTTGCTTAGTATTTAGTATATAGTAGACTTGAAGCAACAACTCTCCATTTCTTTTTTATTAGTGGCATATTGTTCCTAAAAGAAGAGCATTGAACCCTTTATGTAGGATTGTGAGGTTTCAGATTGAGTTTCAAACAAGATATGGGTCATGTGGTAATTCCAGTGAGCTTTTATATTCTATCTTTCTTGACAATCAACTATCCAATATACTATTATAATTATGAAAATGAAATCAATGATACATTTTTATATTTTATATTCTTAAATGGTGATGGTATTTCTTTAAGTGTTCGACTTATATATTCTTTCTTTATGTATCATCTCGATCGAAGGATTGTCAAAAAAAGTAAACGAGTTGAAAGACTTAAACTTAACATAAAAATATAAATAATCAAATATGAACATTCTGGCCAACAGGTCGGGTGATAAGCTAGTACTGAAAATAGAGTTATCGCCCTAACGCATTCCTCAGGATGTGATTGTGCATTATTATTCAAAGATTGATTGTTGACTTATAGAATTTTGTTAACTTCTAAATTGTGATGCACTAATTCAACTTAAAGGATTACACCAGAATTTATGATTAATTGTATCTTGATAGATAAAATTTTTCAATGTGTAAGTGAAGGTCTATAAAAATTTGTCCAAACATTTGCCTACTGACTACCAATATTAAATTCATATGAACTCTTAAAGATGACATATACTCAATCGAAAGAATCTTGCCTAATGAGCAGCCTTCAAAAAGGCGTGCCTAGGCGCTCGCCTATGCTCGATTAAGCTCTAAGCGTTGAAGAAACGCCTAGCTTTGGCCATTAGCGGTAATAAAGGCGCTGGAAGCACTTAATAGGAGAGAAGGCTCAAGATTGGTTGAGTAACTTTAGGGTGAGTAACAATCAGTAATCAAATCTGGATCCTTCTTTTAAGTGGCTGCAGATCTAAGGGTGGAAAATTAAAGGAATTTATTTTCTCTAGTTTTCTTAATTGATTCATATCTTCTTCATTCTAACTCGGATTTCAAATTTTTTTTGTACACAAATGGAACGAGTTCGTTATGCTCTACAAAATGATATCCATTTTCAATATTTTTTTAGAAAAACAATTTTCATCCCTCTCGTCACCAACTCCATACCATATGGTATCTCTTTAGTTGTTTAGTCATTTTCGGAAATTTTTGCACAAAAGGAAAGATTTAATCATGATCTATTGGATTTCAAAATTTTATGGGGGAAAAATTCTATACCTCTCGTTACCAACTTCATATCATACTATACCACCCTGGCATGAGGTGGTATTTTTATACCATATGGTATGCTGTTATTTAATACCAGTCAATACCATATGGTATTGACTGATAATAACTGACAAATTTTTTTTGTTCAAAAAAATATCAAAGTGGATATCATTTTGAATCGTTACCAACTCCATATCATACTATACCACCCTGGTAAGAGGTGGTATTTTTCATACCATATGGTATGCTGTTATTTCATACCAGTCAATACCATATGGTATTGACTATACCATATGGTATTGACTGGTAATAACTGACAAATTTTTTTTGTTCCAAAAAATATCAATGTGTATATCATTTTGAAGAGCACAATTAATTTGATCTAACTGTGCATAAAAAAATTAAATTCCGAGTTAAAACAAGTGAGAAATCGTCCGTTAAAGATTAAGAGAAAGAAAATTTATGATTTTTTCAGGAGAGAGAAGGAGGCACTGATATGGTAGATTCTTATTGGGTTATGCATGAGGTTACTCACCATAAGGTTACTCACGGATCTCCTCCCGGAGAGAAGCTTGCCTAGGCGGATCCGCTGATCATTAATTAAAAAACGAAGTGCAATTACGCTGCATTTTGTCCTAGACTAGAATAGTAGAAAAATCATCGACCCTCCCCGGAGAAGTTTGTTCTTTGCCTATTTTCTGGTCTGAAGCTCGGACGCCGGTCGGAGAAGCTCGGGCGCCGGTCGGAGAAGCTCGTCGGTCGGCCACCACGACGAGAAGCTCTTCACCTCTGTAAGTGGCTCTGTTATGAAATTTGTTCTCAAGCTTGTTGTCAGTCTGCTGGATGGGGGCGTTGGTGTCGGTGGCCATAGAGAGAAGCTTTGTTGTCGATTTTATCTGCAAAATTATGGAACAATTGAGGGTGATTGAGTAGTTAATTAAAGGTTGGTGGATGGGGCCTTTGGTGGATGGGGAATTCTGGAAGAATTGAGTGGTTAACTTCAATTTAGCGAGGCTTTGTTGTTGCTTTGCCTCAGTTTGAGCTCCATGTGTTTTTATTTTACTATGTATATTTTGTTTTGTAACGTGCACTAATGGGCCGTTGATGTTATTTTTTGTCTCATTACTCTTTAGTTGATTGGTCGATCTTTTCATCATTTAAATTTTGATTATAATTTTTTGAGGATAGAATCACAATTTCCTAGCAAGGAGATTGCTTTCCAGGATGTTGAAGATGAAGTGGTAGCTGGACGAATCTATTTGGATGATGAAGAATGAACTTTTTCCTATGAATTTATTGATTATTGTTTAATATTTCGATATTTTATGAACTTATGGTTCTAGTAAATTGTCACTATTTATTTGTTATTTGTTAAGTTAAGTGTTACATGTTGAGAACTAGGTGTTTCTAATTTTATATGAACTTGGATCATATGAAGTAATCCAAAAACATGAAATATTATAAAATTTTTTCCATTTATGCTCTAAACGCCTAGACGCCCCTAGACTACGCTTAATCGGGCAAGGCGCAAATCAGGAGTTGAGCGCTCGCCTTACGCCTACGCCTTTTTGAACCTTGCTAATGAGTAAACCTAAAGCATAAGAATTTTCAATCAAGTTACATGAAAGTTTCGACCGTAGAGAAACTTTAATAGTTGAATATTAGCAATATCTATGAATATTATTAAAGATACAATTGTATTACTGTTTCATAAGAGTGTTGCTAATATGAACCGGCTGTGATCATTTTAGCTCACCGACAAGAATTTTGCAACCATATATACATTGGTGAAAGAGTTCCTCTATTGTCACTTATGCGTGTGTAGGATGACAATGAGTCGGGTTGGGGCGGGTTTTGTTAAATCCAAACCCAAATTCATGGGTTTATTCGCCAAAAAAATCCGGGGTAAAACTCGTTGGGTTTGAAAAACTCAAACCCAATTCAACCTACTGGGTATCCACGAGTTCATGGGTACCCGTGGGTTTTTGTGGTAAAAAATTTACAATAACAAGTTTCTTTCAAAATAAAAGTTTAATATAAATTTTCTCATACAAATTATTCATACAAAAAACACCAATCTAGAGCATACAAGCAAACCGCAAATGATCAATACAAATTGTTCAATAAAGATAAACACCTATAAATAATAAGATTAATTGAAAGCTTCTTCATCGTCAACTAAATTTCTTCACTCTCCACTTCATAATATCAACTTCATTCTAAACGAACAAATTATACATGTCTTCACAAACATAAAGAATATTAGTTGTTTAAGGAAGATATATTATTTAGAATATTAAATATACTGGTAAAGTAATTATATGTGCGTGGGCGGGTACCCATGGGGGCGGGTTTACCTAAACCCAAACTCAACCCGACCCGGTGAATAGTGTAGCGGGTTTAAACCCAAACCCGGCCCAAAACTCGTCAACACGGGTTTTACCCGCGTTGACCGGGTTGGGTCAGATGGGTACCCATGGGTTCGGGTTTTGTTGTCATCCCTATGCATGTGCCCTTTAAGTTGTGCCATTTGTTTTGTGTGGTTTGCATGAGATTAATTTGAAGGTTTGGACGTAGCGATTCAACCATGATTCAATCATTTCATATGTTAAAGATCACCTATCAATAGAATATTTATATGGTCGAACCGTCAATATCGTATGATTTCACAAACACTTATTTGGCTGCATGGGAATTGGGACTAATTTGAAGGTTTGGTATTAGAGGTTGTACCAAAAACGTTAGTGGTAGTGTATTTTGTATCGAAGTCGTAGTTCAACCGTGGTTTAACCATTTAATACGTTAAAAACCATCTACCGATAGAATATTTTTATGGTCAAACCGCCAATACTGTATGTCTTCACAAATACTTATTAACTCTTAACCCACTAACTCGACCGGGTCAACGGGCAAAACCGAATTCACAACTCGAGTCACGATGTATGTTCAGAAAAAACAAAAAAAAATTGTAAAATCATATCGAAGGTTGTACCAGAAAAGTTAGCATTAGGGCCTTTTGTGCTAAAATTGAAGTTCAATCGTGATTAAATCTTTTCATACAGATAAAATGGCCTACCAATTTGATTTCCGTTAGGATTTTTTCTATTGGACCGTTGTTAAACACGGTTTCAAATCAAATACGAGTTTGCAAACAATATATCTAATACTATGAGAAGCCCCAGCAAAGCGCGTCATATAATCTACCTGGTTGATACAAATATTTAAACAATGTCAAATGAATAATTGTTCGGTTGCAAGTAAAAATACAAAATCAATTTCAAGAAATAATTTAAAGTTTAAGAAACATCCATAAATCAATAGTACAAATATATATATAGGGAGTTCTACGATACCCCGAGTGAAATCCGAGCTACCACATACCTTGAGTATGAAAACGCTATCCAGAACTTGAATTGACTAATCTTTCGGAATGATACTATACTCTAACTCTTAAAGATCAAAATTTATGTCTTAATTCTTTAAATCTTATACCCCAAGATCAATTTAATTAGAAAGAATAATCGACGGTTATGATTCATCCAAATATAAGCAAAAAATCAATGCACCATCTTAAGTTTTATAGTTTATTATTTATATAATTAGGACCTAGGGTTCACTCATTAAGGGTTAGGGTATAGTATCATGCCCAAAAATCCCGCTAATTCGAGGTCTATATAGTGTTTTCATACTCAAGGTATGCGATACCCCGGACGGATTTCACCCAGGGTACCGTAGAAGGCACCATATACATATATATATATATATATATATATATATATATATATATATATATAGGGTCAGACTCGTGTGCTCCTGGAGCATACTATGCTCTATGTACTCATAGTGAGATATCTCTATCTAGACCATGAATTAAAGCGAGTATGGGGTATGATACTATACCCTAACCTCAAATGGATAAACCCCAGACCCCGATTTTCTAATCCCAAACCCAAAGTTCAATTTAAGAGAAAAGAAGATTTGACCGTTGAGATTGGTCGGAGCTAATCCATGTAAATCTAACGGTCAGATAATTTGGAGCACACCAATCGTCTCCATATATATATGGCAAAGGCTAGCATACGTCAGGCGTACGTTGTACGCCTTTGTTCACACTTGATTTTTGCACATCAATATATTTCGCTGAATCAGAATCGTCGGTTATTATTTTTTAGATTAAATGAATCTCATGGCTTGGGTTATGGAATTAGGGACTGAGGTTCACCTATTAGAGGTTAGGGTATAGTATCATGACCCAAACTCAAGTTAATTCGTGCTCTAAATAGTAAAACTTATCTAGTATGCTCATTGCCTACCCCCGACTAGGGGGTGTGCAACGGTTCAGTGTGGTTCACATTGTACCAAACTCATGAGCACCGCGATCCAATAGTGAAAGACATTTTAGAACCAAGGACGACCAACATTATACTCGGTCCACTTTTGCCTGGTCTAAATGTCACCTCAGTCTATTTTTTCAGTACCTATAAAATTTTATAGCACCGATAATTGGAGCACATAATATTCGATTCAATAAGAAGCGATCTAAACGTTAATTTGGTCCGGTACAATCCGATACAGGGTAACCATTTACACATTCATTAATCCGAAAAGAAAAGAAGCATTAACAATGAAAGCAAAACAAGCCCAAGCCCGTTGGGCAAATCAAGATATAAAAGCCCAACAAGAAAAAAAGCCCTGCGTTTGCATTAGCCAGCCAGCCAAAACCCCCTTTTGAAAACGGAAAACCTAAACAACCCCTCGCTCGGACTGTAGACAAACGAGATCAAACACCGGGAGGAGAGGAGAGAAAGCAAACCCTAGGTTAGTGGAACGAAGGCTTTCTTGTGCTGAATTCCGATGATGAGCGGAGGGGAAGAATTAGGGTCAATGACGCCAGTGATGATGACCGGAGCTGGTTGCGAGTTATCAGAGTCGAAGAAGCCGGCGGCGGAACCCAAATGGAAAGGTAAAAACCTTTACTTGACGTCTTTGATTAATACATCGATTTGGGGGATTAAGGCTTTCGAGGATAATCCAGATACTGGAAAGGTTAATCAACTCGACGTTATTTTGCCAACCATTATTTGTAAGCTGAATCTGCACAAGGATTGTGCTTTGCCTATTGGAATGGGCATCGTCAAGTTCAATAAGAAGGTTCATATGGTCGGCGGAGAATTTACAGATTTGAACCCTACCGAAGCAGGTAGCTCATTTTTGGGCAGCAACCACTTTCAATCAAGTGAAAAAGTGTATGAATTCGATCCTACCGACAAATGCTTCCGCGAGGTCCCTGATTATGCCTTGCCTCTCCCTATGCCACAACCAATCGTTGCAAATATCATGGGAAAAGTATATGTGCTTCATGGAGATCATTTCTGCAATGAGCATGGATGGCCGGAGAAGCCCAGCTTAGCCTTCCAGGTTTTAGAATTCAATCATCATTCTGGATCTTACTATTGGGAGACACTTCCTCCTCCTGCCTTCTACACTGAAGGATCCCCCGAATATTCCTGTTACTGCAAGGACAAGTTGGGTGTCATCGGCCACAGGCTCTTTATATATACGCATTATGGTACCCATATCTTTGATGTTAAGAAACAACTCTGGGACTATGGCAAAGGCGACCTCTGGCCCTTGAGGGGTCTTCCAACAGCCACAACCTTGTCAAGTATGGTAACCAGCAGTGGCCCCTATCTCAAAAAGACAAAAATAGCCGACATTGGCCATGGCCAGGATCGTTATTTCATCGTCGTTGGTTGCGATTATCTCCATAACGATGATCGCGTGTTTGCCTCAGTGGTCAATGATGAGGGCGTTATGTCCGATATACAATGGCTACCTAATCCATTCCCAGATGAATATTATCCTTTTGAGGAGATCAAAGTGATTGAACTATTGGAGGACGATGAGCAGGAGGATGGGCATTTGAGCAACATATTTTGTGTTGTGTATGTCTCGGCGGCCAAAGGTTTCCTAGGGTTGTCAGTTTTCAGAGTTTCTTTGTTATCTCCAATGGTGGTCGTGGAATCAACAGACAGGAAGCCTTACCTGTGCCGTGAAGATAAGAAGGAAGGAAAAGGCGAAGACGAATTCTTGGAAGTTGAAAATCTCGAAACGCGTTGCTATTCAATGGAGGGCGTTGTCAATCCCTTCCTTATTGATGCCTTCTTCCTCTAGGTAACTAACCTCTTACTTACTGGTCAAGTACATGCATTCTCATTATCATTATCGTACCACTTGAATGTTGATGAATTTGGTACCTGCACCAATCAATCTTGTTGTTGGGAGTGCGAAAGTTAGTTACCTGGCATCCGAAGAAAGACATGGTTAGTCAGCCAATTTGTTGTTATCACATCCTGGAGCTGTCATGTTCTCCAACCAGGCTGTAATCTTACCCCGCTTCGGGTTGAATCATCTATTATTGGCTTGGCATGCTCTGTTGGAGTGGTTGTTCCTCAATCCTGCCACTAATGTTGGTATTGATAACTTTTTATAACAGATGTGGTGATGGAAGCTTCGTTGGTGGTGGGCGCCATGTTGCGGGTCAACTCTTGCTGCTTGTTTTCCCTCCTGGTGACTTTGGTTTCCTTGTCATATGTCTGACGTCCTGGACGGCTAAATATTGCTTCGCTTATCCTACTTTCCGTGTCCCATTTGCTAAATATTGTAGCGTCCAACTCTTGGACCAGGAAGAGAGCATAGGTCTGTTGTTTCTGGTTCATGTTATCTAACCTGATTATTTTACTGATAAAGGAGAAAACAGCATCTCGGATTTCAGCAAGTGTTTCATGCTGCCTTGAAGCACCAGCTTTAACAACGGCAGCCAGAACCTGCAAAAATTAGTAGATAGCATCAGTTATGTCTTCAGGAAAAAGCATGATAAACCTGTTTCATTTTCATATATGTCCCAAGAATATGAAGGGAAAATATGTTGTACACTCCATCAGCCATTAGGGAAACAGGAAATAGCAATCACCTGCTGGAGATGCACTTAATGAGATTTTATCCGTTAATCTATCAAATAGCTTCTCATTCTCAATAGGAGAGTGAGCATTGAGAGTGTGAGAGCTTGTTCATAGCTGTTCTCTTCTTAGTGATAGTGATTTGTGGTTGGAAGAGTCAGCACTTGAGATCAGTTTCGTGTGTATGTTTTGATCTCCACTGTGAAAGGAGATCACGTTACCTACAGCTCAATATAAAATCTCATCGAAGATCTCAAGGGGAGGACACCCTTGAGCGGAGTGCCGGATACATAGGCCTAGCCCAACTTCGTTAAAAAACTACTACGTTCTTTATGGTTTATTCTTGCAGGTATAGAGAATCAGCAGAAAAAGAGAATTCCGACTTTGGTTCATTGATGATCTCGCTGTGTAAATATAGAAGAGAACTTCTCAATATTGAAATGGAAGGGATTCTAACATTTACATGGTCTTTCACTATTAAATTGCCCTTACTTCTCATAAAACTGTGGACCTGGTATCAATGTCAAGTGTAAAATACAAGTATCAATAATTAATAGAAGTAGCTTCAAAGTTCTTTGTTTTTTTACTTTTTTTTTGAGAAATCGAAAGATGTTGGAATTTTTGTGAAAGAAGCATTGCTTTTTCAAATGTTGCCCAATTAGCGAGTAGATTATATTGATGATGTTTATAGGTGGCAAATGGATTAGATTCATGCATTGGTGTATTGAATTGGTGTTTTGGATCATGAATTCAAATGATATCTAATTTCAATGATATTTGTCGATAAAAATATATTTAATTACCAAATTTTAAATATATAAAATATAGGTACTAATTTAGAATTTGCCAACAATCCATAAATCCAATGAATCCCACAACCTTGCTCTAATTCTTGGCCCTCTTTCATTTTTCTCAAACTAGTGTTGGAATCCTAAATTTTTTTCAATGAGTAACACATCCTCATTGATTCTGTTTTCGATGAATTATGCTGTGAGAATACCTTAACTCAATTCGACAAATCCAATGCACCAAGGATTAGGTTTTAAATATAGGAAATTGGTTGGAGCCACGCAGAGGAGAACAGTGAAGGGGTGTTTAAACGTTTACCATGTAATTACCAAATCAAATAAGCATAAATTCTATTCACCATGGAATGCAATATCATAATCAAACTGTCCAAACTAATACAACAATCAAATTAACCAAGTTAAAGTTTAATCGGTTTGATTAATTGGTTAACCAAAATAACCAATTTACCACCACATTATTATTAAGTGAGAAAATATTCCGATTAGTGCATCAATTTGTATTAGTTACATGTATTTATGTTAAGGATATGTGTATTTATCTTACATTTGATTCTTAAGTGGTTATGCAAAGTATTAAGTATATGTGTATAATATATTATATATCAGGCTAATTACTTCAATTGTAAAAAAAAGGCTAATTACTTAAGTGGTTAACTTCACGGTAACCACATCGTTTGAACACCCCCTACCTAGGGTGGGGTGGGGGGAGATTCTTCCTCGAAGGAGGGAGAAGTGGAAGTTGCCCTCTGCTCCAGCCGATGTTGCCATAACCGTCGCGTCTCACCCGCTGCTACCAGCGTCACTGGCGAGGAAAAGTCGAATGGGGAGTCTCTAATGGGGCCAAGATCAGGTGATTAATGGGGTTCTTAGTCATATGACTAAGTGAAGTTCAGTCATTCCAGCTCATTAAAATTCAATTGCACAGATTAATTAAAATTAACGAAGGGCAATATAGTAATTGTATTACTATTTAAATTATTAATTAAAAATAATTCTTCCACCCAAGTACCTTCCCCGTCCGTTAGGATAAAATCCCGGCTTCCCTTGCCACCGACTTTCTCGACGCCGCCAGTTGTTGTCTCTTCCTCGTCGGGGGTTTATTACCTTCCCGGCCCGGTATGGCGGGGGGTTTTGTCCTAGGGGAGTTAGAGGGAGGGAGAGCGAGAGCGAGAGAGAGAGAGAGAGAGAGAGAGAAAAGGAGAGAGAGAGAGAGTGAGTGAGTTTTTCGGCGTCGACGGTGAAGATTTTCTGGCGATGAGGATTTTACGACGACAACGACTTTTTTGTAATGTTTGTCGGATTATTTTGTAATGTTTGTATTGATTGTTTGTATCATTTTAGTTTGTAATGTTGATATGAATAATTTGTATATATATTGTAATTTGTAATGTTTGTTTGTCTAGTTTGTACACTTTGTATTCATTGATTTGTAATAAAATTTTACTGATTTGTATTGTAAGTAGTGGCATTTTGTACTGTTGGTATGTTTTGTAATGTTTGTCGATTTGCTTTGTAATGTTTGTAAATTTTGTTAATTTTGTAATGTTTGTTGGTCTCTTTTGTAAGGTTTGTTATTTTTGTCCACCATGTTTGTAATGTTTTTTTTATGTCTAAAAACAACTTGGTTGACTTTTGGACGCAACTCCTCTATATAGAATGGAGCCTCCAAAATCAACTCGGGTGTTTTCCATTTTGTATGTTTTGTCAGTCTAGTTTATAATTTTTGTCAACCATGTTTGTAATGTTTGTATGTCTAAAAAACAGCCGGGTTGACTTTGGGGCGAAATCCCTCTATATAGGAATGAAGCCTCCAAAGTCAACCCGGTTATTCTTTTTTATTTTTATGATTTGTAGTGTTTGTCGATCTACTTTGTATTCTTTGAATAGTTCATATGTTTTGTATTGTTTGTATGTTTTGTCGTTCTAGTTTTTATGGTTTGTACTGTTTGTAAGTCCGGTTTGTATATTTCGTAAATTTTCATAATACCCAAACTACCATGTCATTAATTAAAACGTCATTCTCACCTTTTAATCGTCAAATATATATGTCCATATCTAAGTAGTGGGAGGGACTTAGTTAAGTGACTAAGCACCCCCTTAGTCATGGGATCTCACCTCGTCTTTAGTGTAGTCGGGGGAATTAGGCAGACAAAAGGATGGAGAGTGAGGTTGGAGGGGACAGTTTAGGGTGTGTTTTAATTGGGTGGTGAATTGTGTAATAAAAAACACGAAAGAAATTTAGATTAGGTTAGGCCATTTGGCTCATTTTGCAGTTCGATTAACAGATAATAAGATGAAAAGATATATTTGTTATGTTTTAATATTACGAGGATATGATTGTACAAAAATTTAATAGAAAGATATGTTATTTACAATAATAAAAGGGTACAAAAAACTTTTAACCCTAATAAAATGTTGAAGATGCTGAATCTGGATTGGTGCTGAAGTCCTAAGTGCAGCAGAGGTTCTTGGCGCGAAGACTAGCTGAGTTAAGATTTAAGTTTGAATTAGTACTGTGTCGTATTGGCAAGACTGTGTCATGTTGTCAATACTGTGTCGTGTTGGTTAATTTGTGTGTTGGTCCTTTTGTTTAGTTTGTAGACAGTCTGGTCCTGTTCATAGTTTGAGTCTGCTGGGTTTGAGTCAGTTAAGAGTAGTGGTAGCTGTGAGATCATGGGAAAGTGGATTGATGCCAAACTGTCTAGGCACAACTGTCATGTGTATATATTCTCGTTGATCAATAATATAAACTGTCAGTTTGCATTCCATTGGATTCAACATAGTGGTATCAGAGCACTGTGGCAAACTGTAACCGAGAAACTTGTGTGAAAAACAGCAGTTACTTCTGGGTTGGGAAACACGAGAGATTGTGAGAGAAGTAAAGAACTGGGACTGGTGAGTGCAATCATGAGTGATAACAGTGGTTTTGCTCAGGTTGGTATCCCCAAATTCGATGGGGATTATGAACATTGGAGTTTAGTTATGGAGAATCTGCTAAGGTCCAAGGAGTATTGGACAGTGGTGAAGGATGGTTTCAAGGAGCCTGCAGCAGGAGAAGTGCTTTCTGCCTCACAACAGAAGGTCTTGGATGAAAATCGATTGAAGGATTTGAAGGCGAAGAACTATCTTTTTAGTTCTATCGACAAAAGCATCCTGAAAACAATTACAAACAAGACCACTGCACGAGATCTGTGGATTTCTATGCAAACCAAGTGTCAAGGTAATGCAAGGGTACAAAAGTCTCAGTTGCAGGCTTTGAGGAGGAACTTTGAGATTCTCGAGATGAAGGAAGGAGAGTCTGTGAATGACTACTTTGGAAGAGTCATGGTTGTGGCAAATGGAATGAGAAACTGTGGTGAGATGATGACAGATGAGAAGATAGTGGAGAAGATCCCGATGACTCTTACAGAAAGATACAACTACATTGTCTGTTCCATACAATAATCAAAAGACATCGAAACTCTGTCTGTCGACTCTCTGCAGAGTTCTTTGCTTGTTCATGAGAAAAAACTGACTAAACAATCGACTGAAAGTGATCAGGCTTTGAAGGTCAGCTATGACATTGGTGGCAGAGGGGGAAGGGGACAAGGCAGAGGTGGCTATCAAGGACGAGGTAGAGGAAGAGGTAGAGCATGGAGCCGAGACATGGTTGAGTGCTTCAAGTGTCACAAAATGGGTCATTTCATCAGGGAATGCCCTGAGTGGAACTATTCTCAGCAAGGTAATTATCAACATTATCAGAATCAAGCTCATTTCTCTAATGCTGCTCAACAAACTTCCCATCCAGACATGAAAGAGGATGTATTGCTTATGGCTGTGGTTGAGGATAGTATCACAGAGTTGCTCAAGGAGACAGAAGAACAAGGGTTAATGGCCTTTCAGGAGTCAAATCAGAAAAACCAGATTGAGGATTGGTGGTTTTTGGACTCTGGATGTAGTAATCACATGAGTGGTAATCAGAAATGGTTCATCCAGCTTGATACTAGCTTCACCAGCACGGTAAAGCTAGGAAATGGCAGCAAGCTTGAGGTTCAAGGAAAGGGAAGTGTCAAGCTGTTAGTGGATCAAACTTCCTTAGTGATACAGAATGTGTTCTTTGTGCCTGGCTTAAACACTAACTTGCTCAGTGTAGGTCAATTGCAAGAAAAGAATCTCAGTTTTGAGATTAAGAATGGCATCTGCAAAATTTTCAGGAAACAAAAGGGCTGTTGCTGCAGACAGTCATGAAAACCAATCGAATGTTTGTGGTACATGCAGAGTGCTTGAAGGACAAGCAAAAATCTGACTCTATGTGTTTACAGACTACTAATGCCATGAACTCAACATTGAATCTTTGGCATAGAAGGTTTGGACACTTGAGTGAGAAAGGATTACTACTAATGCATAAAAAGGGACTTGTTCAAGGTCTTCCCAGGCTGAATGGAGAATTGGGAATCTGTGGTACATGCATGATAGGAAAGCAAAGCAGGAGTAGTTTCCAAAGAAACGAGCATGGAGAGCAACTCAACCTCTCCAGTTGCTTCATGCTGACTTGTGTGGGCCAATCACTCCAGCTTCAAATGGTGGTAAGAAGTATATACTGACCATTAC